GGCTTTCATGTGTCTTGCACTGAGGAGAGGCTTCCATCGGGCCACTCTGCCATAAAGCCCCGACTGGTGGGGGGCTGCAGTGATGGTTGACTTTCTACAACTTTCTCCCATCTCCCGACTGCATCTCTGGAGCTCAGCCACAGTCATCTTTGGGTTCTTCTGTACCTCTCTCACCAAGGCTCTTCTCCCCCGATAGCTCAGTTTGGCCGGACGGCCAGCTCTAGGAAGGGTTCTGGTCGTCCCAAACCTCTTCCATTTAAGGATTATGGAGGCCACTGTGCTCTTAGGAACGTTAAGTGCAGCAGAATTTTTTTTTTTGTAAACCTCTACAAAGGAATGCTTTGCCACAATTCTGTCTCTGGCAGTTCCTTTGACCTCATGATTCTCATTTGCTCTGACATGCACTGTGAGCTGTAGGGTCTTATATAGACAGGTGTGTGGCTTTCCTAATCACATCCAATCAGTATAATCAAACACAGCTAGACTCGAAGGTGTAGAACCATCTCAGGGATGATCAGAAGAAATGGACAGCACCTAAGTTAAATATATGAGTGTCACAGCAAAGGGTCTGAATACGTATGACCATGTGATATTTCAGTTTTTCTTTTTTAATAAATCAGCAAAAATGTCAAATTCTGTGTTTTTCTGTCAATATGTGGTGCTGTGTGTACATTGAGGAAAAAAAATGAACTTAAATGATTTTAGCATATGGCTGCAATATAACAAAGAGTGAAAAATTTAAGGGGGTCTGAATCCTTTCCGTACCCACTGTATATGTTGGTGCAGTAAGTAACAGGATAAGCACTTAGGTGAGCTGTGATTAACAGAAGAAGAGGGATTTACATTTGGGAGTAGTTCGGATCTTTGAACCCTATGATGAAATAAAGTTTAAATCAAGGCATTTCGTGAGGGAAATAATGTAGAGGACTTCATGGAATATCAAAGTGAAATATAATTCCACTGTAAAACCCTAATTAATAATAACAAAATGATTTAGGTTTGTGTGGGTTTAGGAATCAAAAAACAATCATAAGACTGTGAAATAATTAATTCTATTGATTGGTAATCTTGTTATAATGTGTGATCTGAGCATTCAATTACTGAACCCCTCAACCTAATTTGCGTTATGCTTATTGTTTTATTTAAATGTGACTCATCCACATGGTTGAACCATCTACACAAACAAGGCAAGATCCTTAATAAAATAGATACAGTGTGTACTTTTCTATCCGCAGGGTGTAGACTACACTGTGTAAACATGGAGCAGAACCTTTTTACTTTAATCACATTTATAAACACAGTTTCAAAAATGGGTCACCTAAGGCTGAGATCTAGCAGTCAGTTCTTTGTTTTAAGCACAATGGGAGATAGTTAAGATTCAAAGG